TATATATATATATATATATATATATGGCTTTGGTTATATGACAAATGATATATGTTATATAAATATATGAATGAATGTGGGCCAATGATTTTAGTTATTTTAAAAAATGATTTGTATATATTATTAAATTAAAGAAAAGTTGAAAATCACACCTAATTAAAAGAAAGGAATACTTAAATGTAATGATATACATTTACATTATCTACAAAGTATGCAACACCAAATTGTTTGGTAAGAATGTACATTTGCCATAATTGTTGAAAATGAATCGATGCATGATATATCGTAATCAAAAACCCTAATTTTTGCTATTCTGGAATATCTCTAGAATCCGAAAACCAATTCTGAAATACAATGAACTGGGTCCGAAATACCGTACCTGATTTTCTGATTCTAGAACATACATCAAAAAATCCTAATTTCGGAATACAATCAAAAACCCTAATTCCAGAATATAATCAAAAACCCTAATTACGCTCCGAAACATACATAGAAAAATCCATAATTAATAATTCTTTTGATTGTAGCACGATAGAACATACGCAATGGTGTTACTACAACCTGCAGACCTGAACTTGGGCGCAAAATCATAGCGTGCTTACAAAACCAACCAGTTTGTGCGGTGATGTTTAGGAAATCATGTTTTAGTGATTACATGAACATGTCGATGGGTGTCGAATGTCACCCTTTACTATGTCACTGTCTTTTGTGTAAGGAAGCTACTACTTTTTATCAAGTTGACCTAGAAGAGCTTCTATTTCCGGTTGGCGACTATCGGGTTTGCTTTGTTAGGAACTCATTCTGCTTGCGGTTCGGGGATAATTTCCATCCCAAATCTGGTTTTGCATCATTTGGAGAATGTGTGTTTCCATTTATGCCGCTTTCACGTTTAGTGAGTATGGATGACCTTACGAATGTGTTTAATAACTCACTTCATCAATTAAGCAATGAAGACGTGGTGAGAGTCTCCTTGCTATATATGCTAGACCAATGATTTTTGGGGAAATAACAGTGACATCCAGTTACTTATGAACGTATGACACTCGTCTCTAATTCGCATGAGTTTAATAGGTATAACAATGTTTTACCCACATTATATCAAACTGATATGTACTTATTAAGTGTAATTTTTTGACATAAGTACCCATGGGGCAGATTTATATGGGATTTCACTTACAAACAATTGCATACTATGTTTGATAAGACTGAGGACCATTTGAACCCAAATGCGCCAAGAATCAGCAGTAGACATAAATATACTCTGCATGGATTTGTCTATGCATTTGAGGTATGTACACTATGTTTAATAAGTGTTTTTAAGCAACAAGTATTGTAACTTTGTTAACTTGGTACGTTGTTTGTCATCTTTTGTAGATTTGGATCTTTGAGACATTTCCCAGAAGTAGTATTGTTGGTTCCCCTATACCGAGTGATATCCCTCGTGCAGTTGCATTCTTTAGGATGAGGCGTTTACATGCACCTGATTGTGAACGTATTCTCGATTTTACTAATTTATGTAGTTTAGTCCACCTAATAATTTATAAGTTGATATGACATAAATAACTTACGATTAACCTTTATATATTATTTTTTATGCAACCCCCCCCTAACGAGTTGTTGCAGCCTACTGTGTAGGAGCCTGCTCCTAGTTGGTGGATTGAGAGTGTCCGGTGGATAGATGTAACATATTACACTAGGTGGTGGATTGAGAGTGTCCGGTGGATAGATGTTGCATATTACGCTAATGTTTGAGTTATGGTTTCTTTGTTAATATTTTAAAACAATTGTTTTTTGAAGATGTAGCAAAAACCAGTTTATCCTTCCGAACAACATTTTGTAGAATATTATGATATCGTACAAACATCACTACGTTTGTTTGTTTGTTTTTTTTTTTTCTCAAATCAACAGTACCATACTGTTGGCTACATTTTTGACTAGTATGTATACTCTTATACTAAACATTATTTTTGCCACTTGACTTGGTCCTACTTGAAGATTCAGTTTTAGTTGACTCTGCAGGAAAAGGAGCGTCACAGTTTCTGCTTATGTGAACGATCCTTTGGCAACGACTACATTTTTCTGAATCAAACCTGCACCTTGGGATGGGATACGGTTATAGGTTTTAGGTTGTCCGACTTGTCATTTGTCCATCAATGGTGGAAAAACAACCATGACTTCATCTAGTTCTTCGGATTCAATTGGAACTGGCACAGGAAACACAACCTCTGCATATGTTGAACGATATGTTTCCATTGTGAAGTACGATAACATCCATGCACTAGTGTTGATATGTCAGTTCCTTGAATACCGTCATTGCATAAGTTCAAGGTATACCCAACAATTTCCATTTCCTACATGTGCATTAACGACTTTCCAAGTTTACTATACCATTTTTTATTTGGTCAGTCACCTCATATCTACTTTGATCAATCTGGTATACCCAAAAAGCAAAGGATATATTGATAGGTAGTTTAAGAAATCTTTCTTCAGGGTCCCTCTCAATAGATTAGAGCATACATTTTAGCATTCCATGCTCACCAATATGAAATATGTATACAAAAATGGTTATTTAAATTTCGTTTTTTCTGTTTCCCCCGCAACATATTATCAGTACTATTAGCTAATATGCCCTTCAAGAAGTGACCTAATACCTTTTTGTTTGCTTGTCGGTGATGGGGACGCAACTATGTGTTTGAACAAATGTGTTTATTCGATAGGTTAACCACTTGAAATGAATCAATAGTATTATGTTTTGTTTCCCTAATCCGACAGTCACAATTATCCATATAGCGAACAACTTCAAACCTATCTTTTGTAGATTTTTTCACTTTATATTGGAAACCTTCACTAACACTTTTCAATCCTAAATTAAGCTTAAGTTCTTCTTTGTATTTGAAGAGTTGGTATAACTTAAGATGGGAATTATAGTTGTGTGTTGTGACCCCTTTATGCTTTTTTGACCTAATTCGGGTAGTGGTAAAGGATCAGACATACCCTAATGGGTGGATTGTGTTTCTTCAAAGTCGAAAAAATAATAAGTAAAATTTTCCTGTTATGCTTTTTGAGATTGTGGTAAGGGATCAATTTCCTCTTCTCCATCTTCATGATCATCCCCATCAAATTTAACGTAACTCTGAAAATATTCCACTGACTCTCAATGTGGAACTATATTACCATCATCAACCAACATCATTAGATTTGCCTCATCATTTGCAGATTCATCAACATCAATAGTAAGGTCATCCTGAACAACAAATGTACGTTTAGATGTATAATCACCCCCATGTATAGGTTCTTTGTAAGAAGGAACATGGTTGGTTCTCATAGGTAATACATTACAAATTTGGTTACTTTTAGCACCGAAATAACCATTTCCAGAATAATTTTTCATGGGAAATCAATTAGTACCACTATCCATAACATTATTAACAACAAACAATTGTATAATGTTGGAAGGCATAATAGTAAAAAAAAACTAAAAAAATATCTAACATCACTATCGTCAAGAATCTACATAACTATATTTGATCTAGGACATTGAAAAGATAGACAAATTTGATTTGTGTGTAACCTGGACTTGGAAGCAACCAACGTAGTTAACCCAATGAAGTTGATATCACTGGTTATATCTGCACCAAAGCATGTGTAATCCGGAGTAAGATACTACATACATCCATCGATACGCTGCCATGCCCTCCACTAGAAACTGAAACTTAGAAAAACTCGTATAAGTATTCATTCCAGAACGTTTTTGGAAATTATCATACACAAAAATATAATAAAAACACAAATGTATTGCATATTTGGAAGGAAACATAGAAAAACCCTAAATCTATCTCCGGTACACCACTCCGAAATGTACGGCCATTATGGACGTCAGTCCAGAATTCGTTTTTTCAGTCCGGAAGGTATGGAGTGTAAGATTCCGTACCTCATCCCCACCAACCGGCAACCACTCCGGAACAATATCATAAATACTCCGGAATGTTGTATTCCGGAGTACATTTCTGGAACAAAATATCGTGCTTCAAAATATGCTATTCCGGATCAAGTGGTCATTTTTACAAAACATCTTCGCCGCTAATGCCCTTCTTTCTTGTAGTGTTGGTTATTTTTATTAAAATGATTGTTTATTAATGTAGATTACTCAATTTCCATAACATAGGAAAATATTATTAACTGATTTGCCTAATTTAATTGATATTAATTGGTTTAAATATTTACCGTATCTAAAAACTTGATCACAACCATTAATGGATCAAATTCGATGGTACTCATGAGTAGGTGGTTGCAAAGTGATTTGGCCCCTGACTAGAAAATGGTAGGCGTAATGCCCTGCAATTAGATGGAGAAAGAGATTGAAATATTGACTGTGACATTTATTTATGGAATAGTGAGTCTGATAGAAAGGTCTCAACTGAGCTAAATCCCAGTTTTTAAGGCTTTGAATTCAACTTTGTCCAAGTTTAATGATTTTTCAGTTTTACTTTATTTAGTTTTCAATGCCACTCATGCGAAATTAAAAATATTCGTCAATCTTACTATATCTTTTGTAGAGAATTAACGTTTTTAATTTTATTTTAGTCTAATTTTTATTTTAGTAATAATATAATCTGATTCAAAAAGCTAGATTTCCCTATTTTTAACATCTTTGATTTTGTTAGTTTACTAAATTCTATTCACAACGTACAACTATTTAAAACATTCCCTAAATATACCCTTTCATTTCTATTTAGATAATAAATATTTGGACTTTATTACTATAGGCTCAAGATTCATGTTAATTGCCACGTGACAATATCTTGCCCCTTGTTCAAATTCTCTATAGGGATTCTTTTTGTTGTTATATAAAAAATAATAAAATAATGGTGTTTCGGATCATGAACAAAAAGGTGTCTAACAAAAAAATGTATCTTTCTCACGCAGTCGCCGTCGGCGCTACCACCACCAGGTATCGTCCGTCAACGCTGCCGTTTACAACGTTGTAAAATACATTCATCATGAAGAAGACAACCCAGCAGCACCAGCCCCAGCACCATCGCCGGAACCCTAACCGCATCAGCAACAACTCGGTGCTTCGTATATTACAAGGCCTAATATTCTGCCGCCGCCGCAACCTCGGCAGCCACCTCCTCCCTTTCTTCTCTGCCCTCGTGGGTTGTTTTCTTTTTCTTTTTGCTTTCGTATCATTTCTATCTCCACCAATCAACCACCACCATGTCCATCATTTCCATTATAACCATAGCTTGGTATTTAATTCTTGAATCCGCTCCTTTTTCTTCATTTGACATCACCAAGCTCATTCAATTTAATATATATTTGAATCAACAGCTTGATGACGAAATTGATTTCCAATCACATATTGGAAATACGTCAACTTTTCTTGTTCCCGTAAGCATTTGATTAATATACTTTTTTCTTAAAAAAAATCCCCTTAATTAATCAATTAATTACGTTTCTTTTCTCCTAAATAAACTTGTTCATCAAAATTAATGTCGCAGAGAGCAGGAGGGAGTTTAGGAGATGAAATATGGACGTTGAGTCAATCAAAATTCCATCACGGTTGCTCCCAAAAAAGTGAAACTTTTCAAGGTTTTCCTGTTATTATTTTTGGGTGTCGATTAACTCTCTCAAATTTCTATTATCATGTCATGTTTTTCAATTTGTACAAACCAAGAAAACTCTTGATGTTTACGCCTTGCATGCATGCGAAATGATTCAGAAAATTCGTTGATGAATTCGTTCCTTTAATTTATTTTGTAGATGGGGACGCGAAAACAAATCCCGAAAGGTTCTTGCTGATCGTCACAAGTGGCGGTTTGAATCAACAACGAACTGGGGTACGTTTTTTTTGTTCCCATATATAGAAAGAAAACGAAAACCCTATTACGACTGATCCTTCATTAGCATGCATGCAGATAACGGATGCTGTTGTTGCAGCTTATATGCTTAACTCAACATTAGTTATTCCGGAGTTAGATAATAGATCGTACTGGAAAGATCAAAGGTCGGCATAATAATTGCTAATTAACTTATCTTCGGGTTTTTAGGGTTCAGCTATTTATTAGTAGTTCTTGGACTAATATTCCTCATTGTGTAGCAACTTTTCCGATATTTTTGATGTTGACTGGTTCATAACGTATCTTTCAAAAGACGTTAACGTTGTAAAACAACTCCCAACCATCGATGGAAAATCCCTTCACCCTTATCGAACTCGGATACCCCGTAGGTGTGATGCAGAATGCTATGAATCTCGTGTCGTACCACTTCTCGAGAAGAAAAAGGTCAGATCTTGATTGGTTTCCATGGGTTTCTTTTGTGTTGGGGAAATCTATTACGAGGTAATGTGATGTGTTGCAGGTTGTTAAGCTTACAAAATTCGATTACAGGCTCGCAAATAAGTTGGATACCGATTTACAGAAGCTCAGATGCCGAGCCAATTATCATGCTTTAAGGTATACGAATCCTATACGGGAAATGGGCAAAAAGTTAGTCGAACGAATGAGGATGAAAAGCAATCGTTACATCGCACTGCATTTGAGGTAAAACTACGCAATAATGCCCGTGTTCTCTTTTGAAGTTACAATTTACATACTTATTTTAATAAACAGATTTGAGTCTGATATGCTTGCGTTTTCCGGATGCTACTTTGGTGGTGGAAACAAGGAACGACGAGAGTTGGAACAAATACGAAAGAGATGGGAAACGTTACATGTAATATATGCTCCCTTTTCTTATAGATTGCGTTTTTCATTGGATAATGTAAGGCTATTGAACATGAGGGGGCATTTATATATTTTCCATAAACGAGGGATCAAAAGCGTTTCCCTCTATCATTTCTTGAGTTGGGAAAACGTTTAGTTATTACTTCGTTCCATTGATTTGACTCCGTCCCCTAATGTACACTACGTACTAAATACTGTTATGTGATTGCTTTGTATTTGTATTGTCCTTACTTATCATTTCATGTCATGTCATCTTCAATCCATAAACATGCTGACAGTGGTGAACACATTGAATTTAATTTGTTTGCTAATATTCAGAAACAAAGCCCCGATAGGGAACGAAGGCAAGGGAAATGCCCATTGACGCCAGAAGAAGTCGGGCTTATGCTAAGAGCATTAGGATATGGGGAGGATGTTCACATCTACGTGGCATCGGGTGAAGTTTATGGAGGCGAAGATACATTATGGCCATTGAAACAACTCTTTCCTAATTTCCATTCAAAGGAATCTATTGCGACTAAAGAAGAGTTAGCACCATTTGCACAGTACTCTTCGCGAATGGCCGCTCTAGATTTCATTGTTTGTAATGAGAGCGATGTTTTTGTCACCAACAACAATGGTAACATGGCTAAAATGTTAGCGGGGAGAAGGTGCGATGCTTTTAAAACTACTCCATATATATTAAATATTCTCTTTTGAAATCAATATGTTATTTTTTTCATTATTTTCTCAAACCAGGAGATACTTTGGGTACAAGCCAACGATCAGACCAAACGCCAAGAAACTTTATCGATTGTTCTTGGATCGTGGTAACATGACATGGGAAGAATTCGCTTCAGGAGTTCGAACTCATCAGATTGGATTTATGGGACGACCAAATGAGTCTAAGCCGGGAAAGGACGAGTTCCATGAAAATCCAATCGCATGTATATGTGAACATTTTAATAATAGTCGAAGTCTAAATGAAAGTAAAAATCAAAGTGAAATCAAACCCAATAACCAAGATATTCAAGCAAAAAAAAGCCATAGAAATGAGTCCGAAGTCGTAGTCAAGGAGCAATCAACGAATGAACAACACAACCATTCTTTCACGCAACACATCAAGAGTGAAAATGGCATTCAAGTTGAAGAATTACCGAGAAGAAATGGAAATTGTTCGGACCATAGCGATGTGAAACTGTGTCATCAGACCAACCCATAAGCATTTCATATTTTTTTGGTTCCTGCAGGTCGTGTTTTAATTAGTTCACCTTCGTTACCGGATCATGTCATAATCGTGAGTTCGTGACAAACCGTGAATACAAAAGGAGAATAGTATTCACATGATTAATAGGAGAGTTGCATGTAGATATTGTATGTAATCAATGTAAAAAGTAATGGACTTTTGATGGATTATTATTACAGTTAGATTAAATTATTCAACCCCTCTTAATTATTATATTTTGAGAGGTTAATTGTGCAAAATCGTACGTATTGATACTGTGTTTGTAGTCTATTTTCAATTCAGTAACTTAACATTGAAAATAAGCAATATTTATATCTGGATGGGAGGCATGATTTGAATAAGAGGGCTTAAAAGAGATTGATATTAGTATAAGGGAGACTTAATATTGATGATAGGCTTTAGGTATAGTGATCTTTATGTCGCATACACAAATTCAACGCAGCGTGCTTGTGTGGTGTCTTGAGGTTCCACATAAAACCACAATTCCGCACACATACCAAGTTGTTTCGTCCTACCATGAGTTTGTTAGAGAGGTAACACTACAAATTGTGTCTAACCAATTACGGTCCCCTTCATAGTTAAGCCATTTAGCAATTATGAATCAGCCATACGAAAATGATTAGACTAACAACACACCATGGATTAATACCGCCCCTTAGATATCAGTAGCAATCGAACCGATGACATGATCTTTCCCTTCTTTGGCCAACATGATCATGGTCGTGTTAGTCTCATACCACCAAAATGCAGCACATCCACATGCTGTGGGAGAAGAACCGTTGTCCCTTCTAATTGATCAGCATCTAGTATAGCTGTGTACCACACACCCTTTGATTCTAACTACAAACATACTAGGTCTTAGATTGACAGATTGACATGCCGCTAGCCTTGATATACTCTTAGACTCAGGCGAGAAGTGGCACAGTCCTCAACACGTCGCCTCCACTGTAAGAAACCTACGCACTAATATACCTCCACAGACCCCACGAAAGTGTGAAACTGGCTTTATGTATGTCCCACTTGTTGGAAAGTAGCTATGATACCACTTTTCACAAACTAAAGTTCAACACTATTTCTTGTCTGTGTGGCCTGTCGAGGTTCCTCAAATACATTACACTGGTTTCTCACTTCCATTGACTCATCCAAGAGGTGAAACTAGCCTCCAACAAGTTGTATTTAACCCGCTATGGTCGGTGTGGCCTACCGAGGTTCCCGAAATACATAGAAACAACTACATTGTTTGGTGAGTAAATAAAGAGAGATGACTACATCATTGCATAAGCCAAGGCCTAGCTCTTGGGCTGACTTACTAGAGTGTGATTATTCATTCGGAGTTTGATCACATTGCCTTCCTTGAATGTGCCTTATCTGGACCTTTTTCCTTGCTCTAGGGGTGGTTGTGCGAATTCTACATGTACACACTCCAGGTCCATGGGATGACTCCTCCGTCCAGAACTCTTGGGACACCAGTTGGGACACCGATTCCATCTTTGTGTGCTTTTGTGGTTTACTCGCATGCTCCTTGGCGGCTTTTAGCTGGATCTGGGGTTGTGCATGGCCAAGCCCATTCTTTTCCAATGCCAAGTCTTTTGCCTTAGAGTTTTCCACTAGTATACACCAAGTGTATAGATTTTTGGCGTTTCCCCTAAGGGCGGCCTGACTGAGTGTAACAGTCTTGTATGTCCTATTACTATGTTCATGTTTGGACGTTGTTTCGCTTTGTTGGTGGATGCACCAAATTTTGGCGTTCGCAACGGCTTGTTTGCAATCCAATGTGGTGATATTGCTTTTTTCTTTTGTGTCGGATTGAAGGGTATTCCTTCGACATTTGGCCTTGGGGCCTAGTGATGGAGCTGAGACATTGCTAGTGGTTCTCCGACACAGGATTTTTTCAATCTTGATGGATACTTACCTTTTGCCCACATAATGAAACAAGGGAAAATAACTTAAAAGCCCAATGAAGTTTCCAAACCGTTAAAAAACCCCAATCATGTTTTGTTTGTTCAAAAAAATCCAACAAACTTAACATTTTATCTAAAAAGCCCAACTAAGTTACACTTTCTCGAAAGTCAAATAAGAGAAACAGATGACGTGACTTATTACCGTATCGGAAAAATGACTTGTTAGACCAACGAAGTTTGCAAAATGTTTAAAAAACTCCAATCATGTTTTGACTGTTCAAAAAAAAAACCCAACGAACTTAAACAAAACAAAATTAAAATTTTCTGAACGGTTTGAAACTTTGTTGGACTTTTTAGACAAAATGTTAACAGACAAAACATGATTGAGGTTTTTTTGAATGGTTTGGAAACTTCGTTTGGTTTTTAAGTCATTTTCCCAATGAAACAACTAAGGATGACCATAGGGAAATTGGCTCCTATTGGCCCTATGGTGTCGATACCCCATTGACCGGGTAACCGATGGTTGTTGGTCAAAATTATGGCATGTTGGATTTGAGAAGGAATTAACTCCTGGTATTATGGGCATTCCTCAGTAGCGATTTCTGGGGGTTTGATCCTGTATTTATGTGCGATGGCTGACATGCTCCAAGGTGAGACATCCTTCCTGTAACGGCTGTCAGACCTCCTCGTCCTCTGGTTCCACTTGCGAGTAGCGTAAATTTGGCATCAGCCCTCTCGTAATCTGGGGAACCGCTTAGAAAGGACCCGTACGTGGAGTGATCTAGGAAACGTTTGAGTCAATCGGAGACAGTTGTGGTATTGGTGACCTGTTCTGTGTCGATGTCTCTTCCTCAAAGGGCTTTAATCATTATCTTCTTGATTTGGTAGTCGAATGATTCTAAAGGAGTATTGGTACCTGCGTCTTTCTCTCAGAGAGTTTGCTCGACTTTGGGATCCCTTCGTATTGTGTCTATTCTTGCTCTGTGTTTTGGTATCTTTGGCCCTTTTGATCTCTAGCCCTACGGGTGGTATCAGCCCTTTCGGTGGTAGATAGATGCTCACTGAGGTTTGGAGAGAGTTCTACTCCAGCTTCCTTTGCCTGATAGAGGCCTATTCTAAGCCTTTCTTTGTTTATTGTTTCGTTTTCTATGAGGGCTTTTGAATCATGCTCTAATTCGAAGTGATTTCTACTTGGTCATGTGAATATTAGCCTTTCCTCTCGTTTAGAATGAACCCGTAAGGACTTAGTGTCATCTAACTTTTCGTGGTATCATGGGGTAGGATTACCTTGCTTAGGTCAAGATAATCGATATGCTTTTGCTGTGGCTTGCGATGTTTTCTTGTTGCCATTCGGCTTGTGACCCAATTAGGGGGGATCGGTTCCTGGGGGTGTTGTCACATACTGGCCTTACAAATTTAGGTTTTGTTACCTTGCTCTTCTCGCCTAGTTGCCCCCTTTTTGTTCATTGATTGAGGTGCGCGTTAGCCTTGGGGGCACAGATGGCCTGATAGTAACGGTGTGCGCATGGGCTAGAAAGAACGATAGTGGCCAATCCAGTACGTGTGATAATGTTTATGGTGCCGTGGATTGTCGATGGTATGGCTTGTAGTTGGAAAAGCACTAGCCACCCGAGCAGGATGTTGTGCTCTGCCAGGGATCGTACTATTGAAAACCTTATCGTACATGTGATCCTGTCTCTCGCGTTATGAGTAGTTATAGTAAGAAGGAGATGTATCGTTCCTAGCGGCAATAAGTTGTGCCCTGTAAAATTTATGAGGGGACTGGAGGCGGAGGAATTAATCTTTCATTCTAGGAGGACGACAATGGTAGGAAACAATACTCATAAAGGATGTTAGTACTGCAGCCATTGTCTATGTAGAGAAAGTTAATTTGTATTTGACGTATGTAGGTGGTTATCAAGATCGGATCCTTGGGGTTCCATTATGGCATCCCCGTATCCTCTGATGAAAAACTAATATTGAGGATTTTTTGGGAGTATCTTTATGTTGTCATCCATTTCGCAACACTCGCTCCTTAAATGGGACCTCATGATGGTATGAATTTGTTCCTTAATTTGGCGTTTGCCGGCATCTTTCTGATCTCGGGAATTTCTTTGGTCAGTGTCAAAATTGGACCTTAAATCTTTGGCGATTGTCGTAAGGTCACTTGTTAGATGTTTTTCATCCATTTCCTTCCTCAGAACCATGCACTCACCGATATTGTGGGTTTTGCTCTTGTGATACTCACAATATTTTGCTTTCGCTTTGCCTACTTTTAAAGGTGTTTTTTCAACAGAATGTACCTCGACTCGGTGGCTTCGGGTCTCATCTTTACCAAATGGGAGAAATCTACGAGATGGGTGTCTCGAGTGTTTATGATGGCTTCTATCATGGTGATCTCGATGGTTAGGGCTCTACGTAAGACAAGAGTTTGCTTCTTCTTTCTTGATGTACGCGTTTGTAACGAACTTTAGGTTAGTCTCCTTTCTCTTTTCTCCCTTGGTCTGTCTGAGGTATTTCTCTACCCTGTATTTTAGCTCGTCTCTAGATCGGGGTAGCGTCCTTTTCATCTTCTTTGATAGAGGGAAAGGGAGTAGTCCTTGGGCAAAGGCACCAATTACAAGGAACTCCTCATGGTCCGGGACATTTAGCTTCACTATGGTAAATCTGTCAAAATAGCCCATGTTGATTCTCCTTATTTCAACTTGCATGCCATTATGGAGTTTGGATCTCCCTTCCCCTTTCTTAGTTGCATGAAATTGTTGAGGAAAAGTTATCGTAACTGCTCAAAACTTGAGATCCTGCCAGATCACAACGTTTTGAACTATTTTGTGGCGTTTTTTTATAATGTGACAGAGAAGTATGAGAAAATGAATCGTTGATCCATCCTTACTGATGTCATCATCCACTTAAAGGTGTCGATGTGCTCGTCGATTTCGGTTGTGCCGTCATACTTGGGGATGTTTGGTATCATCACTGAGCTTGGTATCTCATAATGTAAGAACTCCTAACAAAAAGCAGAGCTGATGCTACCCACCGGGTTTTCCATGCAAGAGTATTAAAAACCACCATACATCATGAATTGATGGGCGTAATACGGGTTCCCATATGCTTTGTTTTACATCGCTGCTTGCGAGATGTATGGTTGTTGCTTGGGAGCTCGATTGTATGCTTTGCTGTAGTTGCGAGCTTGCTTCTGACTATTGGAGCATGTTATGGATTGACCTTTAAGGCTGATGAGTGTAAGTGTTGAGCTGCTGTGCTGAGGATGGGTGAGGGTTGGATTCTTGAGGCAGTAGTGTTTCAGGGTTGGATTTGTGCGACTGCAGGAAATAAGGGTTTAACATTGGAAGTTGTTGAGCGAATAATGGGATATGTTACATTCTTGCAATTATGGAGAACTGATAGCTTAACATTTGGTATTTTGTAGAGGATAATATGCTCCCCAAGGGACAAAGTGTTCGTCCCCGCTTGCTGCAGTAGCAATGAAGGCTGAGAAACCACTGGTCGCGACTGCTGAGTTGATAGTTATGACTATTGGCGCGGTGGTTGTGACTGTTGTGTTGCTGTCAAATGAGGTGCTACGGTCGTCGTTGTAATCAGTTGCTCTGTTGTGACGAGTAATGGTTGCCATAGGGCAGTGATAGCTGCCGCTGCGGTTCCCGTTATTAGACTTGATGTATGTGCTGTAGATGTGGTGGCTTGTGCATTTAACACAGATGGTTGTGTGCCACTGAGCAATGACATTCGTCTAAGCAGGCTTGCTTCACCTCCGCTGGATGCTGCAGGTTCCTTTCCCTTCATTGTCGCCATTTAGGGTCTTTTTGAGGTTTTGTATCTATGAGTACATGTCAGGATGGTGCCAAATGTTGTGATATCTACTTCGAGCTTATTCTGTTTGTGGTGGTTTCATCTAAGTTAATATTGAGAATCACAACAAAAAAAGAACCAACATCAGTTGTCGTTCGGGAGGGGGTCCTATAATGAGGCTCTGACGATCTAGTCACTAACTGGATGAGATGATTAGGGTGAAACTTCAGATAAAGGAAGAGGTGGTCCTTTCTTCTGGAGAAGAAGGATCTCTTTATTACTTAGGCGTCCTATTGGATGATCGTGCATTACTAGCGATTATCTGCTATTGGTGCAGAGCCACCGAAGAGCAGCGCTTTGAGCGCTACACTTGTCTCTCTAGGGAGTGGTTGGTAGTGTTTTTGTTTGTTGTGAGCTAGAGCCTCTCGTTCTGGATTGGACCTTGGTGCTAGAGTGTTGGGGTCTAAATGCGAGGCCGCAAGGGCTAGGGACTGGGCCTAACACTCATGCTGAGTAGTGACAGTTAACTAGGTCGTCCTTTAGATAACTGTCTCATTATGTTTGATGTATTCCTAGAGGGATACATTAACAAAGACCTAGATGGGTCTTTATATAGTTGTTAATGCGTTTCCGGATTCCGGTCCTTGATGATCCCATAATGCCGATGATGTAGAAGGCATGAATCCTGAGCTAACAACACATAAGTGAGTTGTTCATGGGGAACGCTCCTGGGAGAACGATCTGATGATAAAGTCATGACATGAACAATTGAATAGTGTTTAGTGTAAATGTAAGTTCGAGTGATTTTTGCATACCTGAACCGACCTACCGAGGCTCTCTTTATAGCAGCTCATCTTAGGAATATGCGATCCGAAATGTATAGTACAGACGATAGTCTAATCCTCATAAACACTCTCTGTTGCGAAATGTGCTCAGGCCGCCGGGCCTT